TAAGCTTTAACCACATAGGGACAGAAAATTTTTGGAACTTGGTGTTGCTGTGCCAATTCTGGAACGGTGAGCAGCCGTTCGTCTCGTCTGCTCCCGCGAGCGGCGAGGCGAACCCTAGCACCCTCCTCCTCCAGCCCCCCCGTTCCTTCCCCCCCTCCTCGCCGCTGCCGTCTCGCGCCGCCGGGCAAAGCCCGGCCGACGGCGGCGGCGACGGGGCTTCTTCCCCCTCCTCGCGGCGGGCTGGCGTGGGGCAGATCCTCGGCTTGGAGGCGCGCTGTTCTGCAGGACGGCGTGGCGTGGTGGCGGCAAGGGCTGCGCGGCGGCGGCGGCGGCTTGGGTTGGCGGAGCGGGTGGCTGCTCGTCGAGGGCTCGGTGGGGGCGTGCCAGCTCGGGCGGCGGCAGTGGGCACCTCGGCCCAGATCTGGATCGGGCAGGTGCTCGGGCAGGCGACCGGCGGGCGACGCGGGCCGAGATGGCAAGGGCCGCCCGGCGGCGTGCGGGGCGGGGTGGTGCAGCTGGCTGCTTCGGGGGCTGGCCCGGTTCCGCCTGGCTCGCAGGCGCTCCGGCGGGCAGGTGGCGACGGCGCCCGACAGGTGTGGGCGGCGTGGCTCCTATACTCAGTCGGCGGCGTGGTGGGCCTCGTGGTGGTGGCCCCGTGGCGGCGGGGGCCCGCGGGGAGTTGGGCATCTCCGTCTTCGACCTGGATCGGCCATGTTCGGGGACTTCAGCGACGTCCCTCCCCTTTGGCGTCTCGATGCGCGGGTGCGTGCCCGGCGGCTCCAACGCTTGGAGCTCGGCGGGCGGCGCGGGTTGGGCAGAGGCCGGGGTGGCCGCTGCTCCAGCCGTGGATGGCTCCATGGTGGCTTGGTGAAAGCACAAGTGCTCCCTGGGTGATTTTGGTAATTAATGTCAACATATCTTTTGTTGGACTAATGCTTTTACCTAGTATATTTCAGATAAGTTCAACAATGGAGTGGCATGGACTAGAGGATGTGGAACCCCTTCAAGTTGCTAAGGACAAAGGATTGGCTCAAGCTCAAAGCACAAGACTCTACATTTTACCTTTTAGTGATCCAAGATCACATTGAGTCCATAGGAAAGCCAATACTATTAAGAGGGGATGAGGTGTTGCCTAATGGCTTGCTTGCTCAAAGTGCTTAGTGATATGCTCCAAAGCCCTCAACCACTTTCTCACATCCACATATGTCCCAAACCAAAAGTCAAACTCGGCCCTACCAAATCTTTCTATCTGGCGTCACCGAGTTCAGTTGACATAACCACTGCCAGAAACCCTAGTCTTTTCGGTCTCACCGATAGGGATCTCGGTCTCACCGAGATGGGATTGCAATCTCTCTGTGTGTGTCCATTATCAAAATCGGTCTCACCGAGTTTGTGTAATCGGTCCTACCGAGATTACATTGCAAATTCTCTGTTCCCCTTCGTAACGTTTCGGTCCAACCGAGATGAGCGAATCGGTCCCACCGAGTTTGCCTGACCAACTCTCTGTGTGTCTATTACCAAAATCGGTCTCACCGAGTTTGTGTAATCGGTCTCACCGAGATTACGTTATGCCCTAACCCTAACGATATCGGTCCCACCGAGTTGACATGTCGGTCCCACCAAAAATCCTAACGGTCACATTATTTACTAAATCGGTCTGACCGAGTTCCACGATTCGGTCTCACCGAGTTTGGTAAGTTGTGTGTAACAGTTAGATTTTGTGTGGAGGCTATATATACCCCTCCACCCACTCTTCGTTCGTGGAGAGAGCCATCAGAACATGCCTACACTTCCAACATACATTTTCTGAGAGAGAACCACCTACACTTGTGTTGAGGTCAAGATATTCCATTCCTACCACATAAATCTTGATCTCTAGCATTCCCCAAGTTGCTTTCCACTCAAATCTTTTTTCCACCAAATCCAAATCCTGTGAGAGAGAGTTGAGTGTTGGGGAGACTATCATTGGAAGCACAAGAGCAAAGAGTTCATCATCAACACATCATTTGTTACTTCTTGGAGAGTGGTCTCCTAGATTGGCTAGGTGTCACTTGGGAGCCTCTGTCAAGATTGTGGAGTTGAACCAAGGAGTTTGTAAGGGCAAGGAGATCGCCTATTTCGTGAAGATCTACCCTAGTGAGGCAAGTCCTTCGTGGGCGACGACCATGGTGGGCTAGACAAGGTTGCTTCTTCGTGGACCCTTCGTGGGTGGAGCCCTCTGTGGACTCGCGCAACAGTTACCCTTCGTGGGTTGAAGTCTCCATCAACGTGGATGTACGATAGCACCCCCTATCGGAACCACGGCTAAAAAATCTCCGTGTCTCCAAATTGCGTTTGCACACTCCAATCTCATCCCTTTACATTCTTGCAATTTGCATGCTTTCATTTCCGCTGCTCACATACTCTTGTCATGCTTGCTTGATATGTATTGTGAATGTTAAAACTTGTGCCAAACTTCACTTCACCTCAAAGAAATTGAAAACTGCAACTTTTCTTGCTTAGTGTCTATTCACCCCCCTCTAGACACCTCTTCTCGATCCTTTCAATTGGTATCAGAGATTTGATCTCCATTGCTTTGGTTTAAACACCATTGGAGGAAGATGGATGAGTCTACTTTGGGGAGTCTTAGACATAGAGTGCCTATACTTGATGGAGAGTATTTTCATGAGTGGAAAAATGAGATGCTTGTGATTTTCAATGAATATCATTTGAACAAGTACATTACTAGCCCTTATGCACCTCATGTTGATCCTATGCATCCCACCCTTGATGAGTCAATTGACATGATTCACAATCTTAGAACTGTTAATCTTATCACTAGAGGTTTGCCTAGAAACTTGTTTGGTTGTTTGCCTACTCTTGAGTGTGCCTACACTATATGGAATTTTTTTGAGGAACGTTTTCCAAATTATTCCTTGAAAAATCTAGATGAAATTCTCCATAAGTCTATTGCCTTGAGTAGGATGAATTCCAATGATCCTAAGTTTGGTGATTGTCTATTTGAGCTTACAAATCTTATGCGTGCCAAAGGAGATGTTGGAATTATTAGTGATATTATTTCTAAAGCTATTAAAATTCATAAAGAAGATCATTGTCAAACTCATTCTAATGAATCACCCTCTCTAGGAATTAATCCATCACATGACGATGTTGAACATGGATACTATGATGAGGATGATGATAGTGACTTTGATCTTGATGATGCAATGAGATACTTTGGTCTTATGGCAAATCTTCGGGGATACATGGCAGGAGGAAAGGAATGGGTTCTTGATAGTGGATATATCGATCACATGACCGGAGATAAAGATATGTTTCGTGAGCTTGATGAAAACGACGGCCCTTGAAAGTATGTCACTTTTGGTGATAACTCAAAGGGTAAGGTGGTTGGCCTCGGTAAGGTGGCCATCTCACATGATAGCTCCATACAAAATGTCATGCTTGTTGAATCTCTTGGGTACAATTTACTTTCAGTATCTAGACTTGCTGATTTCGGTTTCAATGTCCTATTTACTGAAGTAGATTGCCAAGTGTTTCGAAGAGACAATCATAAAATGGTCTTTACCGGTATACGTAGAGGTGATCTTTACATTGTTGATTTC